CCTCCCGAGCCTGGCTCCGACCAGGCGCCTGCAGCCCCAGGCCCGAGCTGCCCCTCCCCGGCACTCTTGACCCCGCTGGCTTGTGCCCGAAGGCTGTTCGCCTGTCAGCCACTCTCCACCGTGCCCTCTGCCAGGGTCCTGGACTGCTGCGACGGCTGCGGTCTGGACCATGAGTCCCTGGTCTCCACCTGCTCCACTCCAGATCAGACACCTTCGTTGTGTGACCTGGCCCAGTCGTGTGACCTGGCCCAGCTGGCGGCTGACCTAAACCCAAGGTCACCGATCCAAGCAGCTCAGGACTGAAGATGTGATTGGCTACCTGCCAGTTCTGCAGTCCTCAGAGAAAGTTGAGGGCTGAGAGACCAGGGGTACTATTGACCCCAGTAAGTGTCCTTTCCAGGGTCTGAGTGCTGTAGCCGATGTTCCTGGGCGGGATGGGGTGACCCTGCGCCCAGCCTTTCTAGGGACCTCCCTCTGCTCCTCCATACTATCCCAAGCCTGCCCTCCACTCCACTTCCCCTCAGCACCTGCCCTGTGCTGCTGGTGGCCCTGACTGCCTCATCTTTTCCTTTTTCTGTCTGATGCTAAGACCAAAGCCAGGGCCCACATTCCCACCCAGCTTATAACTCATTCTTAGATCCCCCACTGCACTAGGCCCACTCCTTGCTGGTGACAGCTCTCTCTCCACCACCCGCCCCCCCAGCTTTAGCACTGCCCCACTCCCACCTCTGTGTCTCTACCAGCCTCCTCCCTCTCTGAGGAGTCCTCAGAGCCCTGTCTGGTTCTTCCCTTACATTTGGCCTATGGATTAGCTAGCCTGGTGGGTTAACCATGGCCACACCCTGGCCTGCACAGAGCCCCCAGGGCGTCAAGACCCCTGTGTGAGTCCTGCCAGGGAGGAGGCAACAGCCCACTTGCCCAGGGCCCACCCTGTCCTGGGCATAGATCAGCTGTGCTGGGCTGCAGACCTTGGGGGTGGAGAGCCCAGGGAGCTGGGTAGAAACCAGAGGTAGACCTTGCTGTCTAGTTCAGCATCTGGGTGGAGCTGGGTTCCCCCACCCCACGTTTCAACTCCAGGCCAGTATTCTCCCAGCCTTTCTGGCTCTGGCCTGGCTGGTCCCCAGCTGACTCAGCCCTCTGGAGGCCACAATCTGAGGAGGGGCCCCCACTCTATTCCCCCAGGCCCTTGAGCTGTGCTCTGAACATCCTCCCAAACTGGCAGTGCTATGCACACCCAGCACCTACTCTGGCCCTCCTCTCCCTCACTCAAGGTGACAAAGACCCTGACTGGGCTCCTGGCACACAGAGCCTCTGTAGAACCCTCCAGAGGGATTCATGAGTGGGGAAGGGGCTGAGCAGGAAGCTGCCTCTCCCTGGGGGTGGTGGTCTCTGCAGTCTTCTTTTCTCTGGACAGTGTTGGGTGGTAGGTTCACTGCTGTGTATGCCTCTGTCTGTGTGTGCATGTAATAGGACCCTAAGCTGACCATGGGCTCCATAACGAGTCAGAGTGGCTCCTCGCCCCCAACTAGGGCTGTCCGCCCATCGTCAGGCCTCCGGACCCCATCTGGCTCGAGTGGGCCGGTGAGGGTCCGGTCTCTAACTGCAGCCAACCAGACCACCATGACTATTTGGGGGGTCACATTGGAAACCCTTGTGTCCCCAGATGACCCTGCCAACTGCCAAGGCACGGTCCACCACATTGCTCAGCTTGGCCTGTGTGCCCAGAGCACCCAGCCCTTGGATCTGATCACCCCTAGCCAAGGCCCCTATATTGTGGGCACCAGTCCCATCTGTTTTTTCATGGTTCTTGGGGTGACTTAAAGACAGC